GTGACGCAGAGCTCGTGGCTCCCTGCTTTGCAGCCTTTGGGTCAGGTGTAGTAGCAAGCAAAGTTAACTCTGCTTGTAATGAGTGAGGAGTAGGGTGAAGAACCGTTGTAAACACACGGGGTTTTGGAGGAATCTGTTTGTGTTGAGAAGAGCTGGATTCACTCTTCTCGGGTTGTTCTTGGGAATCACCGGGTTGCTCTCCGCTGGCCTTAGTGTCTGACTGGGTTTCGGGCTCCTTTGATGTTGGTTTATCAGAAGTCAACTGGTTCTGTTTCGGGTAGGGTACATAGGCCGAAGGAGTAACATGTTCGTTATAATTATGAATGGAAAATGGAGTATTGCTATCATTAGTCGATGGGGCAGTTGACTTTCTGGCTTGGGCTGACACGGACTTGTGATCAACCACGCGGACAATGAGACAACCTATCAACACGGTTTAATGAAACGCGGCGCAAGTTTTATATTACGGTCTAATGCCTACCTTCGTAGAAACGAACGTTGGCCCGCAGCAGCTCCTCTATCATATCGTGGGGAACAGTCTCAGCACGAATATGTTCGATGATCACTTTCATTTCAGAATTATAGGGAAAGCTTCCATCTTGTTGCTCAAAGCGGAAATGGGTAGGATGAAGATGTAAAACGAGAGACGGGGGGCATTTGCCGTATTTCTTCAGTATATGAGGTGTGGTTTTCACTGTAAGGGATACAGCTGTCAGTATATAGGGGCGCCGCACATAGAGCTTGCGGAAACTCACCATAAGGCTCAGGACACTTCTTGCCTAGCCGGCGCTCATTGTCTGTGGAAAGAGTCCTGGCCAATGGCTTCGCTAACCGCGTTCCTTGGTCATTTGGCTTTTGCGCCTCTTTCTTGGGCCGATTAATGGAGCTCTTGACGCCATTCGAATCAGCTGCACCATTGACCCCATTTGTGACCGCACCACTTGTCGAACCCGCAGGGCCTGGTTGATTGGGGCCCGGAAGGCGCTTGGAGGATGGTTGTGGGGACGAGGAGGGCTGTTGAGGCTTAACCCCATTGACCCCGGCTTGAACAAAAGGCGGGGGCGGCCGTTTCATCTTGGGCGGGTGTGAGGTTGGTTTGGAGATCGCCGTTGCCATATTGTCGGCGACAGGCATGCGACGCGATCACAGCAAGCGGCTTACGGGCGCGACTTCTCGGGATATGAGTCCGATGATGGCAGAGGGAAACCGTGCTCCGAGTATGATATAACCGGAGCGCGAGACATGTGGGGAGCGGAGGACGGGACCGGACGACAACGTATAGGCCGGAGTCGACGCGGAACTTTGGACGGGGCCCGGAACCGCTAGAACAGAGGAATACTAGTGTCCATCGAACAAACACCTGCAAAGAAGGCAGGGGAGGTTCGGAGAGGCTGATCGGGTGACGGAGATGGTGCTGCAGAGGGAGTTTGGTGATGCCAAGCCGCGGGCGACGTGAAGGAGGTCGGGATCATGTGACCACATGACCACTGCATCGGGTTAGGGCCATTGCTCTCATCATACCTCGAATCCTCACCCTATATGTCGTTTGTGCTTGCGATTCTACGGTTTCACAATGAGATTGACTTACAAAGGCGCTTTCAGCCTTATTAATTGTGTGACCGGCACAAAGGAAAACGAGAAACACGGGGCCATGGTATTGGTATCCTCCAAGCATGTCCTTTTTTCATAGCTAGACTATATGCGCAGCAGATACATTACCAAAGTAAAAAACATAGGTCGTAAAACTCAGGGGAATCAAAGCAAGGTCGTAAGGGGTGATGAAAGGGAAAATGACACATATGAACAAGTGAAATAAACATATCGACACAGCCACCCAAGAAAATGACTTGACATCTAGTCCAAGCCAGACACTCTTCGTCGCCAATCGTCTCCCGTACGGAGCACGTCGACGACATCAATGCGCTTGCCGATGCCAGTCGTACCATCCTTCTCCCACCACTTCTCACCATTGTCGGCCACGGCAGATTCATCTTCACTGTCGACGAGGCCTCCTCGCTCGCCGATGACAACCACTACCTGTCTGACCCACCGGGTGATATGCTGTACCGGTTCCCCTTCCTTTCCAGTCAGGGACTCCTGGACGTAAACAATGTCAGGAGAAATGTGTCGCACGAGATGCACAAAGCCTGTAGAGGTGCTGAAAGGCATAATCATGCTCTCTTTCTCAGCAATTGCTTGCGCCTGGGTATACAGCGTTTTGAAGAGCGGAGTCTGGTCATCCTGGCGAGAGTCCGATGCGGTCAGGTCGCCACTTGGTGGCTCACCGGGGGATAGGACTTCTTCAGGAGCGATGTTTGAATAGGACGAGGTGACGGACATGGCAGGATGGGATCCGTTGCCCTTGTTAGGAGCGTGCTTCAAGCCCGGTGCGTAGATCATAACGAAGATTCGAGTAGTATCGGGATCGATATGTTCCGGAAGGTGGGAAAGGATAGACTGCCGCATTATCAGTAAGTGAAACTATGAAAGGGGTACACTATCACTTACAGCATGATCAGAAGTGTACTCCTCTGGGTCCAAGCGCGATGTGTCCGATGAGACCACAATAGCTACCGTTTTCTTCTTTTTCGCGCCAGAGGACGTGCCAGCAGCGACTCCTGGGCCAGGAAGAGTTCCGCCCACGGTCGGTGTAGCGGGATCCGGTAGGTCCCTGCGGCCTCTTGATTCTACCTCTTCAGACCACCTGGAATGATCTTCGAAGTCGCCCCTGTCTTCTTCTCGGATTGATGTAAGAGCGCCACCTACAAACGCGCCCGCAGCAGCCATACCAGCAGCCATCCGCTTGCTGGCACCATCTAAGATCTGCTGAGGGCTGGGAGTGCGTCGCAAGGCTCCCTGCATGCGAGCTACCATGCTAACATCATCTGTATCATGAATATCCGTCGCTGTTGACCTGGCATAGTCTCCGTGGTATCCGGGAGGAAGCTCGTCCCCGCCGGGGCCAGGCGCGGGGAAGCCATCGTCACCTCGAGGGTCATTGGCATCGTTTTCTTCATCTTCAATGCGTTCACTCCAGATCCAGGCTGCGACACCGGCTGCTGCGACACCTACTGTCAATGCCAAAGGTACCCAGTATCCCAGAGCTGTCCGCCTCCCCGACGAGCTGAAGCCAGTACCCGCTCCAACCCGCCGACGACGAGCATCCTGGGAGAAAGACATTGTAGTCGCTGAGGTCAATTAGAGCTAGCGCATACAAACAGGTTGATTGCGATAATTTAAATCACATCGCATGCCTGTTCTAGAAGATGGGGGGTGTGGGCTGGAAAGGACAAATGAAGGGCAGGAAAAGAGGAGCACTCGCATGGCTGGGGCAAGGCCTCGGGCCACCCGAGAAACATGTGGCTGGTGATAATCTTCCCCTGTTTACCGCGGGTGTTTACCATTACGGTATCTGCCGGCAGGGAAACGTTTGCATGGTTTGCCTGTACCTATAGATAGCATTGCTGAGTCACTTATCCCAATCAGCACGTGATGTCTCTTCTCTTCGATCGAAATCATTCTTGGAAGACGGTGCCTAAAGACAAAGGAAAGGAGATGATACAGCATCGGCCGCTCCGTATCTTGAGTTTCTGGTGTGCTTGGATCTATCGTCCGACATTTACATAAGCACCATCCGCGTTGAATTGTCTCCATATACTCGCTTTTCTTCGCCCTCGATCCTCGCTACGATGATAATGCCGCCAGTTGTTGATCCCCCCCTGTCATCGCGAACAGGAAGCCTCATCGGTATTCAATTGCCAACCCTGTAGTTGCTATCATGCAATGCCCCATGCCTGTTTCATCGACAGTTTCCAAGCCCTAATCAGCATGAGGAACAGCATCTGTTGAATTACTGTCTTCCCGACTTCAACGCGGTTGAAGTCTGACTTCTTCCTTACGGCCAGATAGAGGCAAAAGAACGTTCCCGGCACTTCTTTCATCTAGAGCGGTCACGGGCCGTCAATGGGCAGTGAAAAAAACAGTCGTCAGGGTGGCAGGTTGTATATTACCAAACAAAAGGCACGGCAGAGAGAGTCAAGGATGAGGTAACGAGTTTTCACTGGTCCTGCTCCTGTTGAGCAGGATGGAGCACCGGCAGTATCCACTCCATGGATGAGCCGGCTGCTCTTTGGTTTGGCCTTTCAAATCTGGTTTCTCTATGCATATGGATACACCAAAGAACGAAAGAGCAGAAGCGTTCCCTCGTCTGCCACTCGTCTCTTCAAGAATTGTGCGCAGGCGTAGACGATGCCACGCTACAGAGACGCACATATATACGCCTATTGAGTTAAACAAAAGGCTTGCCTTAACAGCAATTCGAAATGCCAATAGAACTCTTATCTGGTGGGAGTAGCTAGACTGACAGGCAGGTTCTGAACGAGAGCTTTGATTGAGAAAAATTTCCACGCCGAAAGAGTGTGGGTGGAGAGGAAATGACAGCTTGACAGCGATGCCCTTGCGGAACAGATTGATCTGAAGGCCGTGTGCACCACCAAATCTGGGGCTAGCACATTCCAGGATGAATCCTCTCCCAGAATCTTTGACGCTTAAAATTGTATCTTGTGAGATTTTAGGCGTCAGTTCGTAGTCGATAGCCGCCGAGAAGGGCGATCTCACTATATCCCCAAATCTAGCCTAGGTTCACACAATCACGCCTCCCCTTCCCCGGCTTTCTTGGCCCTTCTGGACTCCAATCTGTTGGGGGACCCGGCCGCGCGATATCGTGCTCCACACAGCCAGAAGATTGCATATCTCACTGGATTGTCCAGCGCGGCTCAGTTACCAAAGCTGGCTGCCTTCTTCCCCAGGATACTACCATGGAAGAAACGCGCGTCATCAAGGAGACCATGATAGGGCAAAGTGCCACATTGCCAGTGCTGACGCACTATGTAGTAAGGACAGTCATTGGCGGACGTTGCGGATTGACCGTCCGTCGTCTGAGTAAGATCAGATGGATTCGTTGAAGGATTATGAAGTTCGGGATAATGGCCATGTCCTTGGAAAGACGGGTGCTGATTACGAGAAATCTATGGTATACGTAAGGCTGGATAAGGATCTGTCAATGTGATGCAGACTTCTGATAGATCTCCTTTTCTACGCCAACACCATCAGTTTGTGGTGAACCACATACGCATTACGACCTATTTCCAGCTCGACAGATCTATGAAACGATCAAAGATTCCACCTAGGAGATACACCAAGAAAAATAAATAAATAAATAAATAGGGGAGAAATGATATTCTCACCACAAAACCACTTAACCCTCGATGTTACCATTAAACTAATGTACAAACAACCGAAGCAATACAATTTATGTACCCCGAGTAAGTAATCCCCAACCCCACAAACAAAGAGTCAGAAACAAAGAAAAAACTCTCAAGAAAAAAAAAATACCTTCACAAAAGCCAAACCCACCACAATGACATCACAACCCCAGCCGCATGTGAATATGCAACGACCAGATTTACGATGTACACGTCAATTCCCATCTCCCTGCACCTGCATAAATGCCAAGTGAAGTTCGCTTTCATGTGGATGTAGCTGCAAGTAGAACACTGATGTACATGCGTCGCTCGCCACTCGGCAATGCTTCAAAGACAAGATTAACTCCGTTAATAAAAAAAAAAAAAGGAAAAGAGAAAAAAAAGGAAGCGGTCTGCGGGTCTAGACCAAGACAGCCCTCTCTCTCTCTCTCTGTCGCTCTCTCTCTCTCACCCTCATCATTAATTTTAAGTAATATCCATATCGTCCGGGAAGACAAAGCCACCAGGAACACGGGGATCCAGTTGCGAGATATCTCTGATAGGTTGCTTGCCTTTTCCGTTGCCGCAGGTTCCGTCGTCGGTGAAATTCAATTGGTCGAGGCTGTCCAGCTTGAGTATGCTGGGGTCGATGGTGGCGGTTGAGTTTCGGGGGTTTGGGATGGCGGTTCCCAGCATTGGGGAGGAGGATAACAGGATGTCGAGGTGTGTGTTGTCTTCTGGTGGATTGTGGTTCTTGGATGAGTGTCTGGTGGGTTCGTTTGATGGGGAGAAGGAGGAAGGGTCAGTGTAGATCTGGGTGAGGAGTGTGGCGTTCAGGTATGGTATATTTTCCGTCGGCAGGGTATTATTGTAGGTGAAGGAGTTGGATCTGGTGTGGTGATGGAGGTCTAACTCTTGAGAGGCCTCATTTGTGAGGATATCCCCGTCATATTCGGCTGAGAAGATTGGATGAAAGAGACTGGGCGTGCGCGCATGATGGCTTGTCCTCTCATTCAGCGCTTGACGGTGATTCTCAATGGACGGTCCAGGCTCTCCGAGCGGGGACAAGGGACGGAGGATATGCTGAGCGTAATGATTCATCGCGATGGGGGGTCCATTGAGCGTCTCGCACGGACGCCGTGGAAGTAATGAACCGGGATTACCATTAACATTATGGACCGAGCTAGTAGTCTGAGCGTCCAGCGGCGGCTGAGTTGGGAGTCCCTGTGTATATGACGCGGTCCTTAGATGGCCCAAGCCAATTTCTGCCGAATCTCCAATTCCAAATGATGCCAATTTAGACTGTGTCGTGGGGATTGCTACACTACCACCATTAGACAAGCAGCGAGATCGCCGTGCCACATGCGCGCCCCCCGTCTTCTGTCTATGCTCAACCCCACAGCCATCAGCCAACATGCCAATCATACTAGACGACACATAGAAGAAATTGCTAGGCGGGCGATACCCCGTCATGGACCAATTGAGATCCGAGTAGTCTGCGCGATCAGAATGCTTCATCAGCGCAAAATAGATATCAAAGGCATAGCCCGGGTTCATGTGAAAATCCCGCTGACCCCGAGTACAAAGATATGACTGGACCTCCAAGCCGCGGACATACGGATCGTCCTTAGTATACTTTGCCTTTGCGACGCCGGGCTGCATCCAGCGCTTGTGGTCGCCTCGCGCGTAAAACCGGGCCACCATATCCAGGAACCCATCTTCGTTTGCCGAGACGCCGAGGATGTATTCCATGTTCTGGACGGTCATAAGCAGACGCTGCATTGTGCCCGATGCCCCCCAGGATGGGTGTTTCTGGTGCTGTTGACATATCCAGCAGTCGGTGTCTACGAGCGCTGTGGTTGCGGTCTGTTCTTTGTGGTTTCTTGCCTCTTCGAATGCGCAGGTCATGTAAGAGACGACGAGGTGGGTACAAGCGTGCCATAATACGACCATTTGACACATTATGGCTTGGCGATGAGGGTATGCGTTATGTTGCTGTTTGGGGATTGGGGTGAGCTTGCGTCGGGCCGGGTTACCACTGTGCAATTGACGCAAGACCTGGGATATGAGATGACGGGTAGAGGCATTGGCAGGTGAGTGTGGTGGCTACATGGTCTGGCAAGGTAGGAGAGGCCATATTTGTTTTGTGTTACTGGATATCTCTGGGAGAGCAATTTGCTGTTTTGTATAGCTTTGGTGAATGGGAGTGGTGAATATAGGATCGGCGTCGTGTTGTGCGGCACTTGTTTGGATCTGTTTGGATCTGTTTAACATAGTGAATTCAGTGTTTGACGCTCTTGGATGAAGAATAGCCACAGGCAATATATGGCATGTAGTAATATAGATAATCATGTTGGCTTAAGTTAGAGATGTTATCATCCATCGCTTGGAAACTGCTTTGATGTGAGATCTATAGATTGTTCTGCCACAAGAGATCTTATGTCTGCTGTTAGGTCTACGTACTAGGAACAGGGCCATGAATACTTCGCCGGAGGCCTAAGGCAAGGGCTCCAAGATCTTTTATGCACTGAGGAACAGCTTCTAGAACACATACAGTACACCATAGTACATTTTACCTATGATAACTATATTCACACAACCCCATGTTGTCAGGGTATGCGTAGTACAGCATCATCTTTAAAAAATAGGCAATTATAATTATCTAGGAATACACTGAGAAAAAAAAAAAAAAAAAGTCAAAAAGAAACATTGATTTAAGCTGGTAGCCCAACAAGTCAGTCTCCTGCTGTGGTGACATCGTCTTTTACGGTCTAGATCCATCACACATACAGATAGTACTTAGAATTCGATCCACACAGCTATATACTCCAAATCAGTATATACATACTCTAGATCAGATACGCTGGAACTACCACTATGATAAAGCGCAACCATATCTCTGAGAAGTACCGTCTTTCTACCAGTTCCGCGGTAGGGCTTCGAATAGTGAGACATCCCACCCTCCACCCAACCCTATTTACCAATCAATGTACCATCCGTACCAAAGAACCAACCTTAGTACACACACACACACACAACGACCGATAATATCTAACAAGCTGATACAGACACCTCATAGGGTCTCCATCGGCGCAGGTGTAGGTACACAATTCGACCAACCGCGATGCAAGGAGCGAGTGCGGACTTGGATAACTTTCGTGATGGTGGGCCACTAAGTCTATAAATATCACGATTTGAGTCAGTTTCCACTGTTCGAAGTAGAATCGGAACTCCGATCGATTTTACCGCCTTTTAATATCGAGAGATGCAAGTAGATAGGGTACTGTACCAAGCCTTGTATACTCTTCTTCTCGAATGTTCCAGAGTGAATCAGTCTTGTTGTATGTTACTGCCATCGGTGTCAATAGTCGCAATTGAGTATATACGATATTACAGGTATGCAGAAGAGTGTAAGACACTCCATTCGCGATCCCAGTCTCGAACGAGCTGATGTTAACAGGATGAGAGGTATCCACTGCATGTCTCAAACGTCACTCATCACACGGAATGTAAGGTATCATACAGTAACGCAAAGAGCGAGCTTTACGTATTGTCCAGACGAACACAAACACTGAGAAAGATAGGTGTATAGGTGAAATTTCTACTTCGTTCGACCTACATATCTGGTACCTTGTCATTAGCGTCCACCGGTATCGATGCACCATGTACGTTGATAGCGCTAACCCATCAGCAACTAAAGATTATCTCCGAGGCACACACACACACACACACACACACACACACTCCAGCAACCGTCCTCAAGCTAACAGTCTGCTGCGGGTCACATGGGTGGGTCATGACAGGGAAGGTTACTTCCAAGGAATATTCAGTCAGACTTCAATACAACTTTGCGATGATCAAAGTTTAGCCGGGAGTATTCTTGTTTTTGGTTTACTTTCGCTTAGACATACCAGGTCGGTACTATCCGTCAGCGTAAAACTGATGGGTAGTTTATGTTGCCAATATGCATCTAGTATTTGGGGAAGGTATTCCTTAGTATCCAAGGTACCTACTATGTACTTGAAAAAATAATAAAAATAAAAACGAAAGGAAAAGCTTTGGTGGATCTCAGCCAGCCAGGGCCATCCCCTCATGTCAGAATATCAAAGAGCGTGTCCTCCTTCCTCACCGGCCGAAGCCCCGCTTAGTGACTACCCATTAAAGCGACATGCAGATTCCACTAATCGTGGCTCGTGGAAACTTTGCCTGTCAACATAACCATCTCGTCGGCTTTACACCAATAGTAAGCAAATGTTAACACCGGCAAAGAATATCGGGGGGAAAAAAAATAGAGAAAGAACTAGACTACTCAATACTTAATACTCGTAGTGGAACCATTCGTTCAAATGGAGTGATCATATGACTCTTGGTATGCGGATAACCTCTGCATGAGAACGAGGACGACACTGTGCGACCAGAGTAATGAATACCTCTACGCGCACAGTGATCTCCATGGTTTCGCTAAATGGGGGACTCCTGGGTCAACATGGGTTGTACTGATGTTTCATGTTGAATAGTATCTGCAATGCATAGTGAACTGTCCCGTAAGCTTGATGAGATGTAACCGGAGATATATAAAATTGCGGGAGTACCGGTTGGGGGCCGCAGGTGTTTGACTGCACATGCAGCTGTACGTGGATGATGGAAATATTTTACATAGGTCAATTATATGTCAGGTTTATAGCTATATGAAGTTTTTTAAATTGAACTGTTGTATATCCTGGTCAACTGGATAAATTCCTACTAGTACTACTACTACTTACCACTCCAGTAGTACTAATTCTCAATAACCATAATCATAAAATCATGTGAGCAGATGCGGGGAAAATGTCCATTGTGCCTGAGTACACACGTGAGTTCCTGGCAAAGGGCAATTGACTTTTCTGGGTTTATGGCTCCCAAATGTCAGGTACCTTTAACGGGCCCGACTAGTAGGTTGTCAAGAGAAAGTGTATGTACATACAACCATGGTAGTATGTATGGCTCTTTGGTCGAAGTTTGCATAATTAGTTAAGCGAAACATGCACAAGATATGTGCATTATGATATCGCTTACGAGTACGAGTACGCTAGTCATCCAACGTTGACCATTTATGCTCGATATGGGGATTATCACTATGGGAAGTTGGAGGTTTTCTGTACTCCACACTTTCGGTTATTCCCCAGATATACCTTGTAACTACGCGACCTTTGTTCGTAGGTCAGCCAGGATTAGTTATGATCATCCCTCGTTGGGACCCCGTTCTTAACGCCGCCCCTGAAACCGCGCCGTTCTTACCTGGAAGGGACTGGTGCAGACATGGATATGGACCATCCTCTTTTACACATGTCACTCTGACAGGATTCCGGGTTCCTGAATAAATTATCAAGAGGAACGTGCGCTTGCTCTTCCAATCACGCACAGCTCGATTTTGGCCACGTAGGAGTTGTCATGTTGGAGCCCCGGGTTATCATCATTCCAGCCCTGTATTTTGGTATATGAAGCAAGTCGAAATCAGAGGGGTCAAGGCATTTGTCATAAGAGGAACCACTTTTTAAGTAGTAGTTGAATTGCACCGCCGCATTGGGCAAACTAAAACCGTTCGAGGGGTTAAAAAGTTTGTTTCCTTTTCTTTATTTCTCCTGGTCTTCTGTGTACCAGTGATCGAAATTAACCCCCCATACTCTGTAGAGAAAGCTGGCAATGTGACAAGGAAAAAAGGCAAAAAAAAAAAAAAAAAAAAAA